CGGCGCGATGCTCTTCTCGCTCCGGGAGCTGGTGCAGTGGCTGGGCTTCGCCACCTTCGAGATCTTCGTGCACCTGCTGGCTCTGTTGGTGTTCTCCGTCCTGCTGGCACTGCGTGTGGATGGCCTGGCCCCGGGCCTCTCCTGGTGGAACGTGTTCGTGCCCTTCTTCGCCGCTGATGGGCTCAGCACCTACTTCACCACCATCGTGTCCGTGCGCCTCTTCCAGGACGGAGAGAAGCGGCTGGCGGTCCTCCGCCTCTTCTGGGTCCTCACGGTCCTGAGCCTCAAGTTCGTCTTCGAGATGCTGTTGTGCCAGAAGCTGGCGGAGCAGGCTCGCGAGCTCTGGTTCGGCCTGATCACGTCTCCGGTCTTCATTCTCCTGCAGCTGCTCATGATCCGCGCCTGCCGAGTTAACTAGCCTGTCCGACGTGCCGGCGAGGGAGTGCTGGGCAGCTGGCATGCCGGACCTCGGGCCGAGGCCCTACTTGCGCCGCACCAGAGGAGAGGGCCTGGTCTGAAGGCCACTCCTGCTTGTGCCCAGTTTGCTGGATGCTGTTCATGTCTGAGCTTGTTCCCTCAGTGAGGTTTAAAAAGAGCAGCCTTAATCCCTAAAATGTATGTCCTGTTGTTTCATGCTTTAGTGGGTAATCCTGAACTGAGATCCTGAGAAAGGTTCCGGGCCAGACCATCCTGAGCTCCTCTAACAATTGGAAACAATCTAAGAAAATTTCCTGGTGGACTCTGAGTATTTTCCATGGATCCTGGAAATGTACTCCTGTACAAAGGCTGCAAAGCTGGACTCAGGGATTTCCTTCAGCCGGCGGTGCTGACCTAAGCTCTCACTGTTACATCTATCCAGACCAGACGACGTTAGATGTCCTTGTTAGATCTAAAAAGTGTCAACGAGTTTGTATTTCTGCCCTTGTGCCGCAGGAGAGAATGACCCTTTATTCATTCCAGTCTAGGCAGAGACGGAAGAATGTTGAATAAGAGCACGATTGGGCCTATCTGGTTATCTGTCGCCTGAGAAAAGAACTCTGCTGTTCAGGCGCTGCTTGGCTTCCTACCCCTGCAAAGACTGCGGTTTCACGGACTTTTTCACCACCTTGTGGCTGGCGTTATTAGCACACTTGAGACCGACTTAAGCCTCCCTAAGGGACTGAGGAGAGGAACGAGTGCTCTGATACTCAACAGACATTGAGACCTACAAATGGGAAGCTTGTGAGTGGCCCAGCTTTGCTGGCCTGAGGTGTTTGGTCTGATGCCAGTCAGGTGCCAAATGAGAACATTTGCTGAGATGAAAATAAAGTGAGGGAATGTTTTCCTGAAATGCACAGCAGTCACCTGTACTTCTTAAGGGTTAAACAGGGTGAATGCTGAGGTGGTCTCTGCTATGTGGTGTAACTGGTTACAGAGCTGAGGACAGGAAAATGGACAGGAAAGCGTGGCGAGAGCTTAGTGGGTGGTGCTGGGGGGTGGGGATAGCTTCTTCTGGAGAATCCCTGCTTCATGACTTAGGAGGTGGGTCACTCGGCCTCTCAGTGTGAAGACATCAGTCCGGGCCCATGTCAAGGATCTGCAGAATAGTTTGTGTGACCCCAGAGCCCTTGGCTGTTTGCCACCATGTGGTCTCTGGGCTTTGCTGGCACTCTGTAGAGCAGGATCAGCAAATGATGGGCTGAGGCCTGTTTTCCTGTGGCCATGAGCTGAGAGTGGTTTTTACATTTTTATTCTATTTTTAAAATTTTTTTTCAGTTGAAGTCTCACTCTGTCACCCAGGCGGGAGTGGGCACGCTGACGGCCACTGCAGCCTCGACCTGCTGAGCTCAGGTGATCCTTCTGCCTCAGCCTTCCAAGTAGCCAGAACTACAGGCACGCACCACCACATCCAGCTAATTTTTTGATGTATTGTAGAGGCGAGGTCTCGAACCCGTGGGCTCAGGCAGTCCTCTCACCTCAGCCTCCCAAAGTACTGGGATTATAGGTGTGAGCCACCATGCCTGGCGGTTTTTACTTTTTTTTTTTTGAGTTGGAGTCTCACTCTGTCACCCAGACTGGTGTGCAGTGGCCGCTCCCAGCCACCGCAGCCTCAACCTGCTGGGCTCCGGCGATCCTTCCGCCTCAGCTTTCTGAGTAGCCGGAACTACAGGCGCGCGCCACCATGCCCGGCTAGTCTTTGATTTATTGTAGAGATGAGGTCTCGCCAAGTTGCCCAGGCGGGTCTCAAACCCGCGGGCTCAGGCAATCCACTCACCTCGGCCTCCCAAAGTGCGGGATTACAGGCTGAGCCACCGAGCCTGGCTGGTTTTTACATTTTTAAAGGGTTAAAAGCAAAGCCTGTGTGGCAGAGTGAATGTGACCTGCAGCAGAGCACTGGGTCTCTCAGCCTCAGCACTTGGCCTTTGGGGTCAGATCATCCCTTATTGTGGGTGTGAGGGGAGGAGGGCTGCCCTGAAGAGGGAAGATATGGGTTGTTGGCAGTGTCCCGTCCCTGGCCCTGCTCTCTACTTGTTAGATGCCGGTAGCACCCTTCACTTGGGACAACCAAATGTTTATCCAGACATTGCCAAGGCCCTTAGGGGACAAAACTGTCCCTGGCGAGAACTAGCAGGCTAAAGTACTTCCCGTCTGGCCCTTCTTCAGACAGGTCTGTTGGCCTCCAACGCAACAGCCTGGCCAGTGGAGTGAGTTCGGTCAGCCCTTTGCCTGGGATGGATGCCTCGTCGTGTAGACCATGGCGGTCCTCAAGGTGGAGGTGACACTTCTGGTTTGTCCCACAGCCTCACCAGTGTCTCCTATCCGGGACTGGCAGGACTTTTGCCAGAGCCAGATACGAGCTGAACTTTGGGAGTCACTTTCCTTGAAATGGTTTTAGATTTCTAGATTTCATGCGTTTATGTTCTCCTGTTTGGCTTTGGTCGTATGGAATTGGACAGTCCCGTTGGTGTAGATGTGATGAGTATTAGTAGCTTCCTTTAGAAAAGTGATTTGAGGACAGGCTCGGTGGCTCAGCCTATAATCCCAGCACTTTGGGAGGCCAAGGTGAGTGGAATGCCCGAGCCCCGGGGTTCAAGACCAGCCTGGGCAACTTGGCAAGACCTTGTCTCTACAATACATAAAAAACTAGCAGGGTGTGGTAGCGCATGCCTATAGTTCCGGCTAGTTGGAAGGCTGAGGCAGGGGGATCACTGGAGCCCAGCAGGTTGACACTGGGGTGGCTGTGAGCGTGCCACTGCACTCCAGCCTGGACGATGGAGTGAGACTCCAACTAAAAAAAAAAAAGTTATTGGAGCTGGGTGTGGTGGCTCAAGCCTATTATCCCAGCACTTTGGGAGGCCAAGGTGAGAGGACTGTCTGAGCTCAGGGGTTCAAGACCTGCCTGGGCAACTTGGCGAGACCTCATCTCTACAATAAGTCAAAAAATTAGCCAGGCGTGGAAGCGCACACCTGTAGTTCCAGCTACTGGAAGGCTGAGGTGGAAGGATCACCTGAGCCCAACAGGTTGAGGCTGTGGTGGCCGTCAGCATGCCACTGCACTCCAGCCTGGGCGACAGAGTGAGACTCCAACTCAAAAA